AACAAATTGAATAAAAATCTTTTATTGCTTTAGTTTTCTTTGTTTCCCCTGGAATAAAAAATAGCCACTGCTAGCCATACCAGAAGAGTGAGGTTAAATGTATACAATGAAATCTAAAGTATAGATATAATAAAATCTCTTTGGAAAGGATGTCAGTTTAGTTTAATTTTATCAACTTTGTGGCATTCTTTCTCCTTGAGATCAGAGTGCTTTATTCTGTGTGACGAATGGGCAGACCACAGACTCAGAACAGAATCAATGGCAAGGCCACCAGAATTAGAACCAAACAAATCTTCGTACAATCTAACTTCCAGTTCCCATGAGGTAAACATGATGGATATTATAAAACCAGGGTCACATCCCAAAACCATAGCACATACACAACTGGATTTAAACAAAGTTGTGGTTTTGCTAAAAGATTTTTATGTCTTTTCCGCTCCCTATTTAACATCCGTACAGAGAACTGTGCTTGCTAAACTGAGAATGAAAACACCCAAGAGCAGAGAGGCCTACTGTAAAGGCCTACTATTGACCAGTCCAATTAATGCATCCTGAACCAAGTGCCTTTGTTTTATACACAGATGATAGATTATATTGCTTTTGGTTCTATTTTAACACAGAGAATACAACTAAATTCAATTACTCACAACCTGGAAAGTTCAATGCAAAAGAAACTTTGGTACAAGAACCACTTGGCAAGCTGTACTTTCCCATGTCTAATTTCCCTGTTGGTAGAAATAATTTTGGAAGAATGTGTAGGTAGAACTAGAAAAAAAAAAGTCTCCTGCATATTTAAAATGTTAAAGTTAGTTTTCTAAGCCCCTTGAGTTCTGAAAAAGTAATTCTGGGCTCAGCAAGAAGACCACTCTTAGGGATTTGGTGACGAAGTGGAGGTAAAACCATGTCGTTGAGAATCAGAGCGGGGCTGGATATTAAGTATGCATGATCAATGCTCCCACTGGAAGTCTGAAAGCATGGATAATATTGAGACCTATACACCATGGGTTTCTCCCTGTACCTAGGAAGTGCCTGGTTTATAAGTGAGTACAGCACTGAGATCCATAACAGTAAAGCAGAAGGCCCACATAAATGCAGTGCAGTGAAAGATAGATCCACGTGAGCCCTTCTCCTCTCCTGTCGTCCATGGGAACACTGTCCAGTGCCGTGCCTGCCACTCATCAGTGAAAGTGAGACTGTGCAGAAGGAAGGCAACTTTGAGAGTAGTGCTCCTTAACCTTCACCTGCTCCAGAGGTTTCCATACGTGACTCCTCATCTCTCCTATCCAGAACACACACCAATATGCATGTATATCATGTCCAGGCGTGGAAACACACACACACACACACACACACACACACACACACACCTGGGAAGAGTTAGGGACAGCTTTTCCCGTAGGCTTAACAATTAGACAGTGCTACACATATGGCCTGTGCAATTGTGGGCAGTAATCCAACACATCCAGTTGAAAGACAGACTATTGGAACATACATCCTCAGGAAAGGCATCAACACAGAAGTCACCTGCACTGCTCTTCCCCGTAAGCTGGCCTGGCCTCTGGGTGTGCTCCCTCCAGCTCTTCCTGCTCCACTCACAACTCAAGTTTCGGTGTTCACCTGGCACGCCATGTCCTTAGTTCTGACTTATCATTACTCTTCCTACCCTCATTTACTTATTTGCACTCATCATATATGCAGTCATGGGAGGAAAAACGCTTTCTAATTTTTGATCAGTACACTACTTGAAGCACAATAGACACTCAGTTACTATCTATTGAATGTTTAAAAATTACAAAAATGAGTCTCTGAAAGACCAATTTTTATAGGGATCTAAGAATCCTTAATTCTGCAGAAATAACTGCAAGTATGAGCAGAGGCAAAGTGTCACTTCTGGCTGGGCTGTGGCACAGTGCCAGTGGCAGCCTGGAACAGGAAGCCCTGAACACGGGAAAGCCTCTTTGCCAACTAAACAGGTGACAAAACCCTCTTGCTGGCAACTCCACCCTGAGGGGCCCTCCCAGTTCTGATAGTTCTAATTTTTGTCTATAAAATGATGTGAGGGGAAGGCAGTTAGCTCAGCTACAGTTTTCCTAACTGTAGGTTGAATAAAACACATGCAGTATCTATACATGACAAACTATTAGTCATAAAAATAATAAAATTATGCTTAGTAAAGCAAGCCAAACTCAAAACACAAATATCATGTTTTGCTTTATTTGTAGCAGTTAATATACAGAGAGTATGAAAAATAATTAATATCTGTTATCCTACATAATTTGTTTCTTCTTTTGGTAACTTATTTTCTTGATTGTCATGCATTTTACTAAGCATTCTAAAATTAATTAAAAAAAACATTAATTAAAACATTCATTTTCCATATGACAGCATTTGGGAGCCCGAGCAACCTGCCCCTGCAGATTCTGGGATGCAGAAAGTAACAGTTGAAGTGACTGGGTGGGGCCATCCACATGGGAAATCTGGATTAAGTTTCTAGTTCCTAACTGTGGCCCAGCCCAGGCCTGGCCATTGCAGGCCACTGGGAAAGTGAACCAGCAGACTGGCAGAGGGCAGATTCTCCCACCATCTTTATCTATCTCTGCTTATAAAAATAAGCTCCTGGCTCCTCATCTTGGCTTTGGATCAGTTCTAGCACTCTCAAGTTGAGGTACATTAAGTCCAGCAGAGCAACCGCTCAGTAGCTTTTCCTTGGCATCATAAGCCCTGAGTAGGGAGAGCCTAACTATCTCAGACCCAGGAGTGTGGCTTTCCCTGTCCCTTGTGCCAGCTCTTTTATTCTTCAGAGTACCGGTACTTCTCACCATCCAATCTCCCAAACAGAGTTCTTTATGTCAAGCTTGCCCTAACTGAATCATACGTGTTCTGTGCTATTACACCTTGGTGGATACTCCTAGTTCCTGCACCAACGCCAAGGTAATTTTTGATTTGAGTGTTTCTGGGAACCACCACTTCCGGCTGATCATGCATGAGCTGAAAAATTACTGCAATGTCCTTGACACAAATAAACATATAAGAGCACTGTCACTTCTTCCCCTGTCTGAGACTAGCTAACCTTGTATCATGAAGAACACACTTAAATACAGAATACATAAGTGTTCCTGGCATTCTCACGCTGCAATTAGAATCTTGATTTTTCAATTCTTGGTCAACAAAAAGGAGGAGATGTACTGTCTTTCTTTTCTTGGGCATAGTTCAGAAGTTGAAAAAGTTAAACAGTGAGGATATAAAACCAGGAAGTTAACTCTTGATAACTGACCACTTGTGGTTTTGCACTTTCCAAACATCCCAGGCGTGGACAGGCTGGTCTGCAGTCTTTAGGGTTTTCTGTATTTTCTACCGTGGGGTTTTGCTAGCTAGTCACAAATGCATGTTGACTCTCAGGGCCATCATTCCCTGTACACACAGGCACTCCACCAGGAGAATGACACTGTACGGTTGCAGCCCATGGTCTTCCCTAACTCCCTACTGAGATCATGAGAACTGGTAATATGACACTGCCCCATTACAGATTTCAGTGTTAGTTTTTTTGCCCTAGCTGCTTTGGGTCCTTGAGATGGGGTAGATCTAAAGGTGATGCCTGGGAGTGTGGATAAATTATTCCCCAAAGCTATTTAAGACAATGGATGCACACACACATGGGTGAGGCAGCATGTGGGGCTCATATTCATAGCCAATTTTCTTGATCTGGGATCATGTCATTCCACTAAAAAATACAGGTATACTAATACCAATTTTTATGTATGCTTTGCATTCCTGAAAGAGATTTAAGACAGCTTCTCCAAATACACTTAACACAAAAGTTGGGGCAAAAGTAAAATAAATGAGGAAGTTAGGATGGATATGAGGAGCTAGAATGGTAAGTCAGAGGCTTGTCACATGGTGACAGAGTTGTAGCAAGGGGAATGAAACTCCCACCAATCAAGGCAGGCAGGGCATCCCACCCAGTCCAGGACCTGTTCTAGTCTTCTGCAAGGGTGCTCAGACAACTGCAAGGCTGCCTGGACATGTCGTGGGTTAATGGCAGGGATGATAGTCCCAGACAGTGCTAACCAAGCTGCATATCAAAGCCAAGTGCTGCACAGAGCTGATGGATCCCAAGGCCTTACACAACTTTCTCCTGGAGGAGATCCAGCTGTGTGGGGGCTGGGCACTGATCTTACCCGCACAGCACACAGAGAATTCTCAATGGTGTTCTCCCTGTAATTGCAGGAACCAAGCCCTTAAACCTCTTCTTTAAGTATGTATCAATACCAGCTGACAGCCAAACCCTCAAGGCATGATTCAGATAGGCAACCTAAGAGATGCCAACCAAATCCATATCTCTCTAGAAGCTGGGTGGCCTGACGGGTCAGGCCACTGATTTTTATCTGTCATTAGCACAGTGTGCCCTCTGTGGTTCTAGAGAGGGGCAGCCATTTCTCACCTCTGCACAGATGGAAGGTAAAGAGCCCTGGCAGAGTTTATATCTTTTTGCAACAAGTGTTACATGGAAGTGCAGTGGTCAGGTCTGACTACCTTTCCTACTCTTCACCCCTGGCCGTGTTGTTGTAGCTGGAGAGCATCTAAGACATAATGCAGTTACTGAAGACCTAATGTGAGCCCAGAAATTCCCTTGAAGAGAAAACCTTCCTGAACTGCATGCTGGGAGCAGGCAGGCATTATTTCTGCTACACTGCCATTCAGCGAAATAGCACAGTAGCTCATAATGTCCTAACTTTGCAGTTGCTCCAAACACTTTGCTGAGAAATTCAGCGTAGATGGTGGAAATCAAAATCAGAAACAGTGAGTGCTGCTCATCACGGACCAGGCTGATCACGCCCTTGTGTAGACTATGGCTTTTCTTAGACCCTTAGATCTCTCTACTAGGAAAAGTAGCCTGGCCTGACCCAGGGGTACATGCAGGGGCCCTGATGCTCAAGGAGCCTGGGAGAGCATCCATGATCTGAGATGCTTCTGATACCTTGGCAAGTCGGGTCACTTACAAGTTCTGAGAAGCCACGAACCACCTGCCGCCGCTTCAGATTGGTCTCTCCATCCAGGTTGGCAGTCTCAATGTGGCACAGCCCATCCGGGTCACTGGAGGAGAGTAACAGAATGTCCGCAGGGATGATCTCGTTGCAGCGAAGTTGCACAAAGTCTCCCACACGGAGTTCTTTCCAAAATCGGTTCACGTACTTTTTTTCTTCCCTGGTAAAGAAGAGCTTGGTTAACAAAACTGGCAAAAGCTTGGTTGTGGCTGGCATTTGGGGGCTAGCAGATACAAGTTAGCAAGTACATGGAGCTCCTTTAGTAATTGTTTTTACTCTTCTTGAAAGCTGCCATGATTAGAAACTTGTATTAAGAGTAGGTTCAACAGCTCAGTTGCCTAATCTCTGCCTGCAAGCACAGCATCCCATTTGGGTACCAGTGCATGTCCTGGCTGCTCCAGTTCCCATCCAGCTCTCTGAGGATGGCCTGGGAAAGCAGTGGAGTACGGCCCAAAGCCTTGGAACCCTGCACCAATGTGGGAGACCTGGAAGAAGCTCCTGGTTCCTGGCTCCGGATCAGCTCAGCCCTGGCCCTTACAGCCATTTGGGGAGTGAACCAGGAGATAAAAGACATTTCTTTCTGTGTCTTCTTCTCTCTGTAAATCTGTTTTTTCAATAAAAAAAATCTTTTAAAACGTTGCATTAAAAAATCCATGAAAGTCTTATATAGCTTGATTTGTTTTTGAATGTCCAGGATAGGCAAATCTATAGACAGAAAAATAAATTTAGAGCTAGGAAGAGAGGATATGGCTAGGGGTTTCAATCTAGAGTGATGAAAGTTTTGAAAATGGATAGCATTGAGGGCTGCACAGTATTGTGGGTGCACTACATACCACTGAATTGTTCATTCAGGAATAGGTACAATGACCACTGCTAAGTATTTAACACAAAGAGCTGAGCGTCAAAACTCTGACAGGCACTTGTAAACCAGTGTTCTTCATAGCATTAACCAAAACAGCTTCAAGGTGAAAGGCACCCAAGCGTCACCAACAGATGAATGGACAAACAAAATGCAACATTATGTATAATACCTTGCAGCATTTGATATTCAGTCATACAAAGGAATTCTGTGATATTTATGGACCCTGGAGACATTGTGCCAAATGAAATAGGCTGTTCACAGAAGCACAGATATTGTTTGATTCCACTTACATGAGGTAGCTTGAATAGGTAAATAATTCATAGAGACAGAGAGTAGATTAGAAGGTTATTGGGAGGCAGGGGAGGGAGAACGGGGAGTTATGATTTGATGCATATGGAGTTACTGTCTCGGATGATGGAAGGGTTCTGGAAATATAAGGTGGAGAAAGTTATAAGACCGAGTGGTACCACTGAACCGTATGCTTAACAGTGGTTAAAATGGCAAACTTATGTTATGTCCATTTAATCAGAGGGAAAAATACCATTAAAACACTTATAAGAATAAGTTAAATCGGTATTGTGTTCAGTATTACGACTTAGGTATGTTAACTCCTGAGCACAGATTCCAAACGCTTGTGTTACCAGTGGATTTTCTCCTAGTTTCCTAGAAGATGCACATTTGTGTATGTGTATACTTATGTAGCTGTCCATCTGTCTGCCTATCTATCTACATGTATGGCATTAACATCACCCTTCAAAACCTGTATCTGTTATCAGTCATTCCCCTATGGGAAACCACTTAAATTCCAACAAGTTAGCAAGTGACTTGGCAGTGAGGAACCCAGGCCTGTAGTTCGTGATTGCTGCTCTGCCTTTGAGCAAATCAACTTATTGTCCTCTTTTGTACAACAGAGCAGACAGGAGATGCATCCATCCTCAGTGCATGCAAGATGGAGCAGACAACACAGACTAGGTGCTGAGCTGCACAACCAGCTTCCACACCCACTAGGTATTACCACACATATTTAGATTAAAGCCGTATTTACGGATTTCTCCAGATGTTTTTAAACCCTAGAAAATATGACAATCTTATAAACTCCATTTTTAAGAAGCCCTGAAGGCAGTTTTTGACCATCTTTAAATTAGTGGAGTAACGTAATTTATCTTAACATGACATGTATGCAAAAATCACGTTGAGAAATCCTCTGATACTGTTGAGGAAAAGAGCAGTAAAACACACTTTCCATTAACCATCTCCCCCATGCCGCCATAAAATTTCACTCCTATCCTAAGTTCCTTGACAGACAGAAAGCAGTCAGCAAGTTGGGTCTTGGGCAGATAAGATGAACTCCTGAGATTTGACTGGGAATTCCAAAGGGTTTAGTGAGCTAGGAAACCACTCAGCAATGTTTCTACCTCTATTTTATTCCAGAATGCGAATCTCAAGGAACCTCTGAAAAGCGGAAGGGCTGTTGGCCACCACTGCTCCAGAAGTAGCTCTAGCCCCTTTATGCCTTTATTTTTTCATACTCATGGAGCTCAAGATCCACAACCAATAGACAGAGGATAGATCTGAAACTGCAGGGAGAAAAAAGATAGTTCAAATATTCAGTTCTATATATTCAAAACTAATGTATGTGAGCTACAACCCTGGAGTTCGTAGGACCAAGGACTTGAATGTAGCTACAAAGGCAATGGTTTGAGCCAACCTAACACTCCCTGAAACATGTTTCAAAACTACTTCACGACCTGGGCTCAGCCCCCCTGCCTGTCGGCCAATGGACCCACCGTGGTTATCCCATGGAAATTCCAGGCCTACTGGTCAGCACAAAAGCTTGGCCCATCAGATTCCAAGCATATGGTGAGCTGACTCTGAGATACTCAAGTGTTAGTGAGCAACAGGTGTTTGGTACAGAGGGTAGGATGGCATTGTCCTGAATGAGAGTGCCTGGGATTGGGTCCTGACTCTGCTCTCAATGCCAGCTTTCTGCTAACATTCACCATGAGAGGTAGCAGGGACAGTGCAAGCACCAGTGCCATGAGGCAACCACAGGGGAGACACAGCTTGAGTCCCCATTTTCTGTTTCCAATCCTGGCTGTTAAGTACATTTGGGGAATGAGCCGGTGGATGGCAGATCTCTCTGTCTCTGACAAATTCTCTCTGCCTCTGAAATAAATGGAGAAGTGGTGTTGATTACCTGCTTCCTTGCTTGCTGCCAAATGGGCTGACTGTTTCCTAGTACACAAGCAGACAGCCTTGATGTCTGACAGATTAAAAAATTCTAACCACATTCCTATTTCCTTTTCCAAAAAGCAGACCTTGACTCTGTAAGATTAGCATTTTTAGCCTTTTTTTTTCCTTCTCATGGCCATTTATTGGGTTCCAAGAGAAAGTACAAAGCCGTTTGAAAGCGCCTGCCTTTCTAGAGAAAGTTTCCAAAGATAAGTCCTGGGTCCCTCACAGGGGAGGGCTGAGTTTGCCCAGCAATCAGTGAAACAGTTGGATTGCCTTGAGACTCCCAGGAAACATGTGCTCCCAGACTTTCCCCCCTCCCCAGGACAGCCAGGAAGGGGAGGGGAAGAAAAGACACAGCCCCTGGGCCCTGGGGCACTAAGTTGTTTACCCTAACCACATTCCTTTTATAAATCTCATCCCAAACAAGGCTGGCTTCCATCTGCTTCGTGATCACAAAGCACTAGCCCCACCTGGACATGTGTTTAGAGCAGTAAGTGCAAAGCAGAATTTCCCCAAAGCCTCCACAAGGGGTCAAGCAATGGGGGTGCTGGGTGGAGGCCCCAAGTGACAGAGGCCATGGAAAGTGACAGGAGTAGAGATTAGGGCCACTCTAGGAGACCCTGGTTCCTGCGAAGAAACTCTGAAGAAATTTTGTAAGCAGTGAGAATTCCTGCTGAATTGGACCCTGGGGAACCCAGACCTGGACATCACTTATGGAAGAGCAGCACAAGGGATTCTCCTTACTACATCTAAATCCAAAGAAAGATAATTCATCAAAACTCAGGATCTTTCGGCCTGGTTTACACTAACTCTAGTATATCCTGATCTACTATGTTTCTGCTATTACTTTTTATTCTTTCACTAATCAATTTAGGTATCTTTGTATTGGAGGGTATAATATTTATTTGTTATTCTGGATTTTCTAAATCATATAGCCACTCTGGAATTCGCATGCTGAAGTCCTACCTCTCAGAGCTTGAGACATGACTGTCTTTGGAGAGAAGACAGTTATTTAGGGTAATGGGGCCAGAGGGGTGGACTCTAATCCGATATGACTGGCATCCTTGCAAGAAGAGGAAGACACACCAGAGTTGTTCTTACACACACAGGATGGGCCATGAGAGTACCCAATACAGAGGTGGCCAAGGAGAGAGGCTCAGAAGGAGCAAATCCTACCAATGCCTTGATTGCAGATTTCCAACATCCAAGTTGCTGCATGGTAGGTGGTGTTCCAATGCACAACTGGAAAAGTCCCCAGGGCTTCCCTGTGAATGCTTCGCTCTAAGCCTACCTATCTCTGAGAGCCACAATTCTCATTACATGTATATAGGCTGCATTTTCTTGCATTAACAAAACATAAAACAATCCCCGTCATCAATACTACAAGTGCATTTATAGCAATTTTAGAAAGTGCATCTAGCTAGTTTGATATTCATGATATTCCTCATGATATTCCTTCCAAGGATAGGGGTTAACCCTGTGGCAGTGAGGTGATGAAACGGTCCAAACCTCCCACTTCTGGCTAGCAGGCCCAGATGAAGCACCCTGAGTGAGGTGGGCCTGCCAGAGTGCATCGAACCAAGAGTGCCTATCTACAGTCTATGAGCTGATCCAAAGGGAGACTGTCCAGGGAGCTGAGCCCTCTACGTCTTAGGATGAACACCAGTCAGGGAAGTGTAAGAGGGCAAGATTGTGCCAGGTGACCAGAGTCAGAGGGTGCAACCCCTATCAACAATCAGCAAGAGAATGGGGTATCTCAGTCTTAGCTCCATTTTAATTACTACAACAGAATACCACAGACAGGGCGACTTACAATAACAATGATTGATTCAGCTCATCTTTCTGGAGCGGAGGCTGGGAGGTGCAAGGTCAAGAGTTTGCATCTGGTGAGGGCCTTCATGTTGGTGAATACTCTGCGAAAGCCCCAAGGCGGTATAAGGGTATCATGTGGCAAGAGGGGTATATGCAAGAGACAGAGCCAAACTGGTTCTTACAACAGACCTACTCTTGAGATAACTTATGAATCCATGAATGAATGAAACCTTTCATGAGCACAACAGTCC